AAGATCAATAATCAGCTGCTGCTTAGAATAACTGTGAAGTCTTGGCTCCATCTGATTTCCTGGTTTTCAGATAGCAGCAAACATAAAACTGTGTGATCATATGGGAAAGCATGAATAAAGTCTGCACTGGGTGGTAGATAGTATGGCATGTGGTCTAAGTTTTCATCATTATTTGATTCATATTTATTTTGCCAAGCAGTTCACTTTATTTGTGTGTATTTATTAATTGTTTGACGATGATTGATTAAGCTACTGTACAAGCACAGACAGCTTGAATTGTCGCACAAATTATGACACTTGCTAGCATATCTAGAATGTATTATCACAGTTAAAATCTTCTATAAGATAAGGTTTCTCCTGGAAATATCGAAACATTACATCTACTTGAACAAATTTCTCCTTTTAACATTTTTTTTACTCCATTATATCCACAGCCCTGATAATTGTAATATCATTAAGATAAAATAATAGAACTGTACCTGTCTTCTTATTTGTTAATTTATTAAACAGTTTTAAATTAGTCATACTGCTTGTGGGGTTTCACATTATTTGATTTTACATTGATGTGCATCTCTCCAAACACTTTCTGTACCTCTTATGCTGGTCAGGGTCATGAGAAACTGGAAGCCTTCCAGACGTGCATTGGGTAAGAGGCAAGGTACCCAGTTGTGAAGGTTGTCAGTCTATCACAGAGCTAACATCTAGATAGATAAACACATCCTCACTCACTTCCATACCTCTGGGCATTCAGAGTTTGCAGTCCATCTGACTTGGATATCTTTGGACAGTGATTAGAAAGTGAAGCTCCCAGTGATAAATGCAAAAAAAAAAAATGGGGGAGAAGATGCAAAAGAAAGGCCTGGTGTGATTAAATCTAGGAGGTGCTTACATAACGGGCCTTTACATTGCCCAGCACAGAGTCCTACCCTGATCACTTTCATCACACAATCACTGCTTGAAACAGTAAAGTAGTAAAAATCAGTTCGCAAAAGAATATGAAATAAGGCTAGACTGACCGTAATAATGTTTGAGAAACAACCTGTAATATTAAGCAAGTAACCCCAACAGGGTTTCAGTGTTCAATCTAGGAAATAAAAACAGCCTTTTAGCAGCTTACAGAGTAAGGCTACATGATGATGTATGCTTCAGCCCTTTGCAAACAGTTAGAGTGATGCACTGATTGGTGTAACAGCCACACAAGTAAGTTATCTGCTTTAGGAGAATCGTGTGAAATTTGCTTTTGTTTCATCCAGCTAAATATTTTTGGTCCATTCAACTGAATTAAAAAATTTGTGAGTAATATGTACATAGAGGTTATTTTCAATGGTGTGGTGCTGCCATAACATGATAGGATGTTGTTCTAGATACAGCAGGTTCTAAAGCCTCAGTGTGGCTGCGCACAGCAGACCAGGTGGCCATTTTGAGTTTCACTGAATCCAGATGCAGGCAGTGAGAGTGGGGGAGGAAAGACTGCGCACTGTGCGCAGTAATGTTGGAATGCAGGCTCTGCTCTCACTGGTTGATATCTTTTCTCTACTCAGTATATAGCCTCTACAGAACATGTTTATGTTAGGTAACTATTAAGATTTTTTTTAGTGGTTGGTTAATAAGTAAGACCAACAGCGTCCTCTCTGTATGACAGCTAAGTGTCAGGTTTACTGTTTGGTTGAAGCACCTGAGGCAGCCTGAGAGAGAAAAGGCATTTTTTTCTTAGCCAGTTATCTAGACTTAGGTTCATAAAACATTTAGCAGTGTAGCTCTGAACTCATGTGTAATGAAAAAATGAACTAATTAGTTTTGTTAACTCTTCACTCATAGCTCAGGGTGTTGCTGAACAGGGAGCGCAAGACATGTGGGCTCTGGCAGCAACAGTGAAACTCTAAACCAGGATTTAGAGGTGATCACTATGACATAGAGATAACATTATTTGTAAGAAGTTTTTGTTCAGCTTTCCCTCAAGATCTACGTACGTATGAAGAGCTCTGCAGATACACTGTACTTTTTTTTAAGTAGGCGGAGTTTGTTATAGGATCTGCTCATGCCTGTGCTCAGCATGCTGCTCGCAGCAGCGCTGGTGGCCATTTTGTGTTTCTGCAGTAACAGAGAGGGGGGATGGGCAGAGTACGCACTGCAAGGTTTTTTCTAGTCTCACAACAGGGATTTTGAGTAAGACAGGTGAAGTTTATGAATGAAAGTTAATTTTCATCACAAATTACATTTCCTGTTTACTACTTGCTCCACTACTCCTACTTCTACAATTTCTCTGTCTGTTTTGAGTCTCAACTAGTCAAATCCAGAACTTACTTAATTTAACTATTTTTTGAAGAATCCATTGGGGCAAACTTCAGTAAAGGAAGTAATAATGCAATGACAATATTTTTCATTTTGTAAGTGGGTGTTCTTTGTTCCTCTTGAGTAAAGAACCACCCCCGTGCTGGAATGGTTCAGTCTGTTTTACAGCAGCCCTCCCTGCTGTGGGAGAAGCTGGGTGGATAGAGTCTGCTTAGTGTGTCAAGCTGTGCTCTAATTTCTTGCTGTGCGCAGCTAGCATGGCACTGTGTGGCTAGAAAGCGATATTTCTTGCTTTCAAATGTAAAGAATACATGACAAAAATACTTTATAGTTATTGCTCAGATAATCTTCCAGACTCCAATGTAGTAATTGCAATTAATCATGAAAAGCAGTTATATTTATGTTTCTGAGAAAGTGCTTATTTAGCTTATATCGACTTGGTTTAAAGAACAACATCAAAGCGACTCAGCTAAAAAAAATCCCAACACTATAACATTTCACTTTTTGTGTGAAATCTCAAGAAAATAAAACTCTTTTAGCAAATTTGTAACTGTTTTTGACCTTTCAATTACTTCAACACTTTCTCCTTTATCTCTTTTGTTTTGAATGCCCCACCCCCACACCTACTTCCTCCCCTCATCAGAATGGTTCAGTCCATGCTTGACTAGGAGAGGCTGTTCCAGAGAGAGAAAGAGAGACAATGTGTGTGTGTGTGTGTGTGTGTGTGTGTGAGAGAGCGAGAGCGAGAGAGGGAGACGGGGGAGGGCGGGTGCAGCTGCCTCTAAGTTGAGTGTGTTGAGGGTGTGCAATTTAGCGCTGGCTGTGCGCCGTTAGCTAGGCCCTGACTAAAGTGCATGTTGTGCTGCTTTGTCTTTTAAAACTGGCTTTATTTGTTTGTTTTACTTGTTAGTGTTTGATAGCACATATAATGAGAGTTTTCAATGATTTGGTTTGTCATTGTTACCACAGATGGTCTTTACGAAGGCATAGTTTCTTTAAAAAGACACATCCTGTTTTTTAGTTGGATGGAGCAGTTTGAACAGGCTTGACCTTCTCTGGCCTTTTAGCCATGTAGCCGATTGATGAGCTCAAGAAATTATTTATCTAACATCTAATGAATGCCCTCAGATTCTTAAGTCCTCCTGTCAAAGGTGAATTTTTCATTTAAAACGATGTTGAGCATTGAATTTCATTTTCTGTCATCCAGTTTGCTCACATTAAAACCAGCTCTCCAGGAGTGGGAGATAGAACTGCTTGAAACAATGTGGCAAATTCTTTGTTTGGTCAAGTTGATTCGATTTTCAGACTCAATTTACTTCTTGCACTCAGAAAGTCAAAAATGTAAATATTCCAAATCTCTATTCCAAAATGAAAGTGGTAACACTGTAAAGATTGAATAAGAGCCTTTAATGGAGAAGCTAGGATGTGTAGCGGGATGAGCTCTGCAGGATGAAAGAGGATATGTTTTTGTGCTGTGGGACATTAAAACCACCAGTGCCACTGATTTTCCTTAGCTCTTGACAAAAACTGCTAAGGTTTACGTTACCATTTTAAAAAAACAGCTACCATGGCCACATTGAGATCCTAATTAGTATTTCCACAGTATTTAAAATAAATGCCCCATAAGTTTTAAATGTTCATGACTGTCAGATGTATATCATTCACCTTAATGATAGAGCTTCTTTCAGTCAAAGCAATCATTGGATTTTTTTATCCTGCAGTTTATTGTTCAGTTGGCCTGTAGCATGGTCAAAGTATGAGAGATCATATTACAGCCTGAGTATGGTCCTCTGCAGTCCACACCGATCAAGTCATTAGAGGGATAATAGTAGACTGAAGCTAACTAAGTACTCAGGTCAGCGGCAGCGTGTGCTCATTTTATTCCACGTAGTACCTCAGGTGACCATGTCATATGTCTGCAGTTGAGATCAATTCTGTCATAGATTCAGTAGAGAGACAAGAGGAGGTTTATTTACAGCTATTTCAGGGTTTCTAATTATATCTTTTTTGACTATGCTGAAAATAAACAATTGCAGCACCAGCCATCTTAAAACAGAGAAATAATGAACTGAAACACAGCTTAACATTTTGAACTGAGTAGGTAGGTATATCTTTAAAACATACAGATCCACAATAAAGGTCAAGTACTCCTGTGATATTTCTGTTACAGTGTTGTGCTTGACCTTTTTTAATCAGAAAACTTTCTTTGCCTATGATGTTATTTAGAAAGGATAGCCCCCTCTGCCCTTTGTCAGAATGGTTTAGTCCATGTTGGCTGTAGATTTCCATAGTGTGGACTAGTTTGTGCTAGAGTTGGGGGATGGGGGTTGCTAAGCAACAGCCTGTGCAGTGTACTTCCCCTCTCTCTGTGCGCTGCTAGCTAGGGTTGATATTGATAATCACCACGCTGTACTTGAAAATGTTGTAGACATAAGGATTGATTTGTATGCTTGTAAATATATCATGCACTTGATAAATGTCATCATAAAGAGAAAAATAATAGTTCATCTTTGTGTTTCATACCATGCAGTGCAGCACAGTGCTGTGTCAGGAATTTACTTTTTGTATTAAAGGGTTTAATTATCACCCACTATAGGTTCAGGTTGGCCACACAGCCTTTATAGAACATACCTCTGCAAGGAACAAAATGGACTAGTCCTAACCGAGCCCCTCCTCCTTTCTTTTATGTTCTCTTGCTGGCCTTTCAGCTGTTCCCTGCTCCCACAATCAACAAATACATGGAAGGCCTCAATCCCACACATCCTGCTAAAGGTCAAAATTTTCTTCTTTTTAAAGCATGTTTAACATTTCTCTCTCTTATTTGAATCTATCTAAGTTCTCATTGCAGCTTCACTCTCTTCTCAAGGTTAGCTTTAATACTTGTAGAGGGTGCTATGCTAGTTGAAGAAGGCTGAGTTTGGCTTGTTTTTCAAATTGTTTGTTTTTTTCCTTTCAATAGAAAACATTAATTTAAGACATTATATAAATGTCAGGGAGTTTGCTTTAAATTCTCACTAACTAGCTTATCAACAGTAGGGACATTCTGTCACCTGCAACATGACAAGATGCCAGGAGTGTGCATGCTTTTTTAACCATTTTGTCCCTGGTGACACTCACATTGGGCTTAGTAACTTAAGTTATTAACTTGAGTCATACATGTTCTCTGTTCATACACACAGGTGACTGTACATATATGTATTTATAGCAGCGTCAACCCATTTGTAGTTGTGAATCTCACAAACATCCTACAGGTGTAAAGCATCTCCCTTGCTAGCAGTCATGAAAGTTGCCATTCATTTTTTTTGCTTGTGTTTTTTTTTTTTTTTTTTTACGCAGTATTGCGTGGCTGCATATCAAACCCACAAGATCGCTCTCAGTCAGATAGAAGCACAATTCCTACCACTATTTTTTTTGGGGGGGGGGGGGGTTATATGGTGGTCATATGGTGTTGCGTGTATATAATATTCATGGAGTGTGAAGTGTCAGAGTGTATTGATGTGGCGGAAAGCTAGGACAATGATGTGTTTTTTTAAAAGTGATGTAGCCAGAGCCTAATAAACAAAGGTCTGGAAATGACTTCGTATCCATGTCAGTGACTGATCAATTAAAAATGCTTTCGTTTGTACCAGTGCCAGTCTAGTTTGGTAGCCAGGTACATACTCAGCAATAACTGGTGCCTAATAAAAAAACTCACCACAGTTTTCTTGACGCTGTTCTCAGGAGGCAAACATGTTTTGGCAAGTTGCACATGCATGTCTATACACTGTATCCCATCCAGAAAAACCTTGTACTTTGTGTTAGGGATCACCTTTCTCGCTGTCTCCAAAACAGGGTTGAATCATATTGGGTAAGATTTGATGAGTAAGAAGTCATACCGTTGAAACATGGTTGCATCTTCTACATCTGACCCAATAATGTGATCCTTTTTTTTACTGAAAGAGAGTTTTGATGTTCATTCTATCTGTGAGGTTGGAATGCCAAGTTTTGTTGTTTGTTTGGCATCACAGAAGCTTAAACTTGAGGACTCCTGCTGTTTACTGCCACTTTGTGACATTTGACCAGCAAATCAATGGCTAGCCACCTGGTGTTGAAACTGGGTTGCAGAGGCACGTACTGAAACAACTACAAGCAGCTATTTTGCAATTTGAGAGAAAAGAAATACTCAAAAACCCAGAGAAGAAGATTGACCTCACTACTTGCCTCATGTTTTTGATGTGTCCAGCTTAGCATGAAGGTATATATGTGAAAGAATTCCTTCTTATGTATGGGGGGGGTAGTTATCGAAGCTTAACTGAGAAGACAATAGTCTAGTCAAGCAAGTTTTTAAAACATGTTATAAAAACGTACTGGAACTTATGTAAACTGTTCTGTGCATTGAAGTAGGTGCATGTTGGATTGTTGACTCCAGTTAAATCCTGCAAGTGATTTATTTGACAGAAGATGCAGAGAGAAAGACAGAAATATAATGGTCTACTCAGTGCATGATATCACAGGAGACAAGCCCAACTTGCATGAAACAACATAATGGGGTGTGAATTCAGACCGATGCACTCTCACCTCAGAGACCTCATTGTGGGGAATATAATTTGGAAATTAATTATCATATAAATTCATTAGGCTTCTGTGAGAATTTAAGCACAAGTAGTGTCTTTGCTGTAAAAGTGAATTAAGTAATTTTTTTCACTCAAAAAAAAAAAGGTGTAGCTTTTGATGGCTGAAATTGCAGTGCGTGTTCAATGCCACACCCAGCTTGTGCGTGTTCACCTAACACATGTAATGATTATTTTCTGCATTCCTCCAAGTCAGGTAGAGCGGAGGACTCACTGACCTAGCTGCAGAGAGCCCTTTTTCTAAATATGGGCTGATAAACTGAGTTAACTTAATGAGCTTGAAGAAAAAAAACATCTAGTAAGATGCTTATTCTTTCCACGCTGGGTTTTATAGTTAATGTCCATATAGTATAAACCATAAAAAAAAAACACGACCTAAACCATAACTATATTTTAACTGTCAACCAGTACAATAAAACTAGTTCTGGATAAGCTGTAGCTTGTATTATAGGAGCTGATATGTTGGACAGAGGTGTTAATTGAGGAATGTTTAATTTGGCTTATTTAAGATTTTTATTTTGTATAATGAAGTTTCTATGTTCTACATTTAGTTGACTTTGTCAGCTTGGTGAAGCCTCAGGGTTAACATAAAATTCTTATTAAGCAGGGTGATGCTGCAACCTGGTATATATATCTGATCTAGAATCCTGCTCAGCTAGCTACAGAGAGCTCAGTCTGGCAGCAAACAGCAGAGCTGACGGCCATTTTGAGTTTCTGCACTGAATCCAGGCGTAGTAAATGAGGCCGTAGGATGGGGGAGGGGGGGATATTGTGCTCTGCGCAGTGTGCAATAACATTGGAATGTGAAGTGTACCAGTGATCGTGCCCATTTACACCGCTCTGTTTTTGTTTGTTTATGCTGACTTTTTGCATGATAGTTTTTTCAGGTTACATTTTTATCCAATTATGCTGAAATACATTCTCACTTATTTTTACAATAAGGAGTTTATGGTCATTGCTGGGAGCATACTTGCTCATATGAAAGCAGAGTAGGAATGGCTTACAGTGTTGTGCGTATGCGCCAGCATCTCAGTGTGCTGCTCAGCTTTACAGTGTAAAGTATACACTCAGTCCAGGTCTTCTAGGCATATGTTGGATTTTTTCCACGCACATGACAGCCTACTAAGCTGCAAAGCACACATTGCTAAATTAAACATTGTTGGTGATCGATGCCTTTTCAGATGACTCTGTCAGCTGCAGTCTTGCAGGTCAGCAATGCAGTAGCAGTAAAGCTAACCAACTTTACAAGTGTAAAACTGAAGCAGGTTATTGCTCTCACCAGATAAGATTTTAAAGATTGCTTGAACAAGAACTGGCTTTATGTGTTCTGTGTCTGTGCTGAAAACAACAGACAGATTTAACAAAAGATAGTATCTACAATTTGAATGTGCCTGCTTTCTGCTATAATATTACAGGAGTGTAAACAGACAGACTGATTAAGCAATACAGTCAACATTTTAACAGCTGAAAAACAAACCCCGGTGCCTGCACATTCATGAGTTCACATTCACTGAAATGTGGGTAAAATATGAAAGCCTCTATCTTGCAGTTTGATGCCTTTGTCCATTGTTCTGCCATGCAGTTTCCTTGTTTTGGGTGTTTTCTTCACCTTTGTGTGTGCTTTGGTTAGCTTCTCATGTCTAATTGATTTCTCTTAGGCTGGCATCGTGCCAACAAATAGCTGATTAGTCACCGGATAAATTTTTTGTTATAGTGTGTATTATCGATTTTAGCTTTAAACTATGCTGAATAAGAATGGCTATCAATGTCATCAAATTATTATATTTGAAATACTATATTCAAAAATCTTGAATAAAAGCATTATCACATTTTTTACTAAATGACCAGAAAGTTAGCTAGTACTGCTGAAACTAAAAGTAATAGGTATATATAATGGACTTTATTGTCATCAACATAATTGTATTTACAGTTTCATGAAATTTGAATTGACCACACAAATTATTGTCTCCCTTTGAAGCCAAGGGCTCAGTTACAACTAAAGGGATAGAGATAGGCTGCTTAATTCAGAGGAGCTAATTTTAGGGTTAAACTTTGATTTGCATTGTCTGTGGATTTCATGCATAGTTGATTCAATAGTCCTAGTTTGAAGCATTAACATACAATTTACTTAAAAAATACATCTCTTTTTCCCTTAGGTTGTCGAAGAATTCTGTTGTAAGTCCATGAACAGGAACCTTTCAGCTTGAAGGTGAGTTATTCATAGATGTTTTAATTAGTATATGCACTGCATGATACTTAATATCACAGCACATTTCTTGTTTTGCTACTGAATGTAAAATGAGAATTTTTATGCAGCTAAGCACAGTCTGCTGCAGCACACAGCTTGTAATTTTGTGTGACTCCCATAAAAAAAAGTTTATAATAATCACATCCATTCCTGCATTAATATACATTAATAAAATGAATATACATGAAATGAATACATATAAAATATAACAACTAGCCTCAACACTACAATTTGTGCAACAAACAGAAGTATGTACGGCAAATCCCTCATGTTTTGCATAACCTCCTTACTGCTGCCAACACTGCCTCAGTTTGTCCATTCTGATTCGCTGAGGACAGAACCAATAGGAAGGTGGGGGGATGGGAGGAAGGTTGGGTTGCTGCTGCTGGTAACTTCAATGTCATTCCTATTCTCTGGATCGGGGTTTAGGTAAACATGAAATTCATAAGTTAAAAGAGAAAATTAAGGCAAGGGGAATTTGTCAGAGCAGTTAAAGCTTTTCTGACTGACATGAAAAAGGGTTTCTGGCACACTGAGCTGCACCTAGACTGTTACTTTAGGGCAGATACAGCAGGGTGTAATCAGGTAGTAAGGATCTGCCTGATTTGGCCCGGATACTGAGTCAAATTTGTGGTGAGGAGAGAGGTTGTTAGGGAACCGATCAGTTTGGTATGCAGACCTCTGAGAAAGAAGAACCTTCTAGAATAGAAGAAACAAGAAAGCCACAGGGCTCTACAGTGACCTCTTGTGTTTCTTCTGAAACTCTACAGCCATTTCTTTACTATGCAGTGCGTAAAGTCCAGGACAGGTTCATAAGCGAAAAAGACTGTGCTGTTAACTGCTCTCACTATGTGTTGTAGATCTTTCCCAGATTCCTCATGCCCTGTGATAGCATCTAATCTCTCCTTGTCACTCCACAGGCAGCAATGGAAGTTGTTGTGACAGAGGAGAAGAAGAAGATTTTCCGTGCCAGGAAAACCATGAAGATCAGTGATCGACAACAACTGGAGAGTCTTCACAGCACTTTGTTGACATCATCTCCAGGTTTGTCCAACCCATCTCCACCACCTCTAATGAATGGCACACACAAAGAGGATGGACAAAAAGTAGGAGACAAAGAGCAAAACAACATCTTGGACACAAACTCCCCCAACGCCACATCACCTGCCTCTCCTGCTCCTTTCTTGTCCCTGAATCTATCACCTTCCCCTGCCTCTTCACAAAGTCCAAAAGCAAAGGAAGAAACTCCTACTTCTCCCACATCACCATTCCACTCTCTAAACTTTGAACTGAAAAAGATGGAGGCGGACGAGGAGGAGGAGAAGAAAGGTTCTTCATCATCCTCATCAAATGAGCCTGTTACACTAGTATCAACAGAATCTAAGGAAAACAAGGAAAAAGACACTGAAGTGATTCCAGAGGTGGAAAAGAAAGAGGTAAATGTTTCAAAGTTTTAAGAAAATTGTGCAGAGGCTTTCATTAAACATTTATTTATTCTACAAATTAATATCAGTGATGTCGGTTTATAATGGAGTTGTTCAGAGAGTCAAAAAAAGTTTCCAATAATTATCAATTTATGCTCTTCCTTAGGAGGAACAGAATGCAAAAGTTGACCCAGCTGTGGATTCGGCAAAGGAGTCTGTTAAAGGTTTGGTTCCATGTTCGCCTCTGCCACCTCCAGTATCTGACTGCACAGAACCAATGGATACAGATAGTGACACTACAAAGGCCAAGGACCCTGAGGCCTCCACAGCCAAATTAAAAGATGAAAAACCTTCTTCACCTAAATCTATAACTTCCGATTCCTCTCCTTCTTGTCCTCCCCCGTCTCATCCAGCTTCCTCCTCTAGTGTGGATCTAAAACCAAAAAAGGAAATCAAAGAGGATGACATAAAAAAAGAGAAGAATAAAAAAGAAGATGTGAAGAAAGGACCCATCAGTGAGGATAAGATGGATGTGGATTTGGTGAAAGTAGAGATTAGAAAGGAAAAAACTGATATTGGAAAAACCACAAAGCCATCTCGGCCATCATCCACTCCACCATCTAATACAGGTATGTGAGTGGACATTGTGTCACATAGCTTCAAGATAATTGGATATCTGCTGATCTTTACCAATATAGAATAATAATTTCTTGTTCTTTAGTTAAACTAATGTAGACTTGAAATAGGCGATGAAGACTCTAAGGTTCAGGGTTATTACAAAAAGACTCATCGTCAATTACAGTCTGCATTACATTTAAATAAGATACAACTTAGAATGGTGTAGTACTCAGGCAATTTAATATTGCATGTTTTGCAATTATTTGAGATTGATGTAATGGGCAGACCGATCTATCCGTTTGATCCTAGTTATGGATCAAGCTCCAGAAAAACTGAAATTCTCCTCTAGAGTTGCAGAGGATAGTATGCTACTGTTTTCAGGTTGTTTCTTACTCCCTGTGATTTGTAAATCGACATCATCAATTATCCAGATCTTAAACAAAGTATATTATTTTGAGTGTGAATTGATGCATTTGATATCACATTTGGAGAAACCATAATTTTGGGTGGACAACCCCTTACGACTTCACGATATTACGTTACATCATTTCTAACATTAAAAACTAGGTAATTTTAATATGTGATCTTCTGTATCATGACAATTTGATATCCTGTTTACATCATTATGTCACTGGCCTGTAGTTTCTGAGAGGAGTTTGTCATTGCTTATCTGTCTAGTTGAAAGTTCAGACCAAATGTAAATTGGACTTGCATTTATCGACATGGCTTGTTTTTATGCTATCTGGTTTGCTGTCATAAAGGTAATGTCCTGAAGTTGAAATTGTGCAGAAATATAATAATACACTGACTGAAAACTTGAAGTCAAACACAAGAAATCCATCAAAGCTGCTAGTGGGGTCTGACTCTCGAGTTCAGATAAAGGGTAATGAATGGGAAGTAAGCAGGTCTTTGTCTTTGTTTCCCAAGTAGTGCAAGAGGACAAGGGCTCGACCTCGGGACTGAAACGCACTTTATCAGAGGGTTCTGAAAAAGATGGACAAACCGTGAAAAGAGAGGGGAAGAGGCCCAAGGTGGAGCGTGAGGAATTGGAGGCACAACTGGAACTTAAAATTACTGCAAAAGCTGGGAGTCACCATAAACTTGAAAAGGTTTGTATGCAACTATCCTGCTGCATTTTTCCCCCAGTCTAAGCTGCCAACTCTACTTTGGTGGCAATGGATATTAAAAAAGTAATGACACAATTTTGCTTTTTTTTTCATCTTTACCTGATATTCTTTCTCAGATTGTGCAACAGCTAGTGGATGAACGGCTGAGGGTCTTGGAGCTGACAATGTTTGACAAACATTTCCAAGAACTCAAGGACAGAGTAGACAAGATCGAATGTGCCACCAAACACCAAACTGCCATTAACACACTCCAAGTAAGTAGATGGCATCATTGTAATCTTACGAGCTGCTAAAATTCACTCCTTACAGTTAGCAGCGATCAAATGTAACATCCACCTCCCTCTCTACTGTTTTGTAGGCCAAAATAGCCCGATTAGCAAAAAAGTTTGGTGAAGCTAATCAGGCATCGGAGAACAAAAGGAAACAGGAGGTAATACATGTTTTTCCTTTTTTTTCTTTTTAAAAAAACAATATTACTTGCATACCTTGTATGCAGGTAATATTTTATGAAAATGTCCTGACAGCATATTGTCTGATTTCTGCAGGCACTTGCTGCTGCTGCTGCTGCTGCTGCTGCTGCTACTGCCGCTAAGACTACAACCGTTCCAAACAACCCTCAAGCTCAACGGTAAGTGTGCCCATGCCTAGAGCAGTTTCTCCTCTAGATTCCTTTCTACAATACTATATATAGTAACTTATAAATTGCACAGTAAGGTCTTCAGGGTTTTTGGAAGTGATTTTTTTATCACTTCACTGCAGGTTCACATGTTTGCCAGACCATTTCATCATGTGACAAAATATTTTGAGTTTTCAAAATTCATAGCATCATTGTATTTAAACATGTTATCTTTGAATACAGCAGTGTGTGCTCTTTGGTATTGTGTGAATATAATTTGGCCTTTGTATGAACGTGACAATACCGGACTGAAGCCAGTACTACACACTGAGCCGTTCACAGCGTGAATAGTTGACATTGTCCCAGGTTGCTATCTGTAATCCCTAGAGGCAGAATTTTAAAACTAATGGATAGAATAACAAATCCTTACATCCTCTAAATCCATACCTTTTTTGGAAACCAAGATTCCATGTCTCTTGTTCGGTTTTCCTGGATCAGCTTTTTTAAACTCTTAACTTCACTCCAAATATTTCTTTAGACTGGTTTGGAATAAACAAACACATGTGCCAGTCTGTGTTTTGCACCTGCAAAGTAACCCCGCGTGGGTCCAGGTCCTGAGTCTTGTGACGTTCTACAATGTGAAGCCTGAGCGTTTCCTCATCCAGTGCAGAGTGTAGTTAAAACTGCACCTCTCCTCCCAACAGCGTGCTCCGTCGGCAGACAGTAGAGCCACATCGTGAGGTGCCCAGTGAAGAAGTGGTGCCCTCTGTTGGTAAGACTCCTGCACTGTCTGTCAAGAAGGACAAGAAAGAAGAGAAAATGGAGGAGGAAGAGGACAAAGATATGGCACGTCATATTGCCATGGCAAAAAAGCTGGCAGAATACAGTGAGGGAAGATGCAGAGCAGACATTAAACTCCGCACGATCACTTCCCAGTTGGAGAAAGTGCTGTACCACAACTGCAAAAGAAGCTCAGGGAATCCCAGGGCTGATCGCTACGCATCGTACATATTCCGCTCCTTAGTCCCATATGATGTCTACTGTGACTGGGTTGCAAAGGTCAACTATGTTGGATTATTGGGCAAGGACGCACTGCCCACGAACTTAAGGAAGACGATGAGGATGTACATTGAGCGTCGATTCCCTCTACTGTCCTGTGACAGCTGGAGAGAAATTCGGGATGTTATCAATGAAATACTGCGAGTGAAGAGAAGAGCAGAATTTTTTCGAGAATATGATGAAAGAACAACTCAAAGAGTTTTTATCTACTAACAATATCTTATCTGACTATGAATTACGTTTTAGGAAAAACACAGCACAACTACAGCGGCCTTAAAAGTAGTAAATGATTTCAGTGAATCCTTAGACAACAAGCAACCTTGTGCAGCCCCTTTCATTGTCTTGTCTAAGGCTTTTAACACTGTGGATCATGCAATATTGAAGTAAAGACCTATCAATGTAGGACTGAACAAACTGTCCGTAGGTTTGAAAACTGTTTATCAGGCAGACCTCAGTGCGTGCAGGCGGAACTTCAGTTCTAGCTCCCTTAGTGTATCTAAGGGTGTGCCCCAGGGATCGGTCCTTGGACCACTCCTATTCAATATATATATATATCAACAGTCCTCATCAAAATGTTTCCAATGCAAATTTCCACTTTTATGCAGATGATACTGTTCTGCCTCTACATCAAGCCAGGCTCCTTGTCAGCTTCAACAAGCTTTTAACACTGCGCAAGGTACCTTGTGTGATTTAAAATTTAGTTCTGAATGCTGACAAAACAAAAGTAACAATGTTTTCTAGTACAAAATCAAAGCCACTAAACCTTTCATCTATCACTCTCAGAGTCCAATCTCAGGACTCTGAGATTGAGTCTGCATCTCAATACAAATATCTAGGGATTGTAATTGACGATTCTCTATTTTATGCCTCAAATATAGCAATTAGTGACAAAAACTAAAGCTGAAATTGGGTTTTCATTTTAGAATCAAGTCTTACCTTTCTTTCGATACCAAAAGATTTGTCACTGTCATATTTATGTCTGTGCTGGACTATGGCAATGTAGTATACATGCATGCATCTTTGCAATGCTTACACGCGCTGGGTACTGTCCACCATGGAGCACTGAGGTTTATGACAAATTTTAATGCCCTTACTCACCATTGCTCATTGTATGCTCAGGTTGGATTGTCTGCCTTGTCCACCCTTAGACTTAACCACTGGCATATTCTTATTTGTAAGGTTATTCTTGGTCTGCTTCCATCTCACCTACAAATCTGTATCCTTCAAATAAATATGGGAAATTACTGTCTTCGCTCCCAGGACTTATTCCTATTATCTCTCCCTAAAGCCCAAACTGAACTGGGAAAAAGGTTGCTGCTCCCTCTGCTTGGAATAAGTTGCAAAATAACCTGAATGTTTGGGAGCTGGTCTCACTGGATGCATTTAAAGCAATTTTAAATGACTTGGAGGCCTGGACATCTGGCTGTAGATGTTTTGACTGATGACTTATTCATATTGCCCCCGTTTGATCCCCTATGTTGATGACTTGTGACGAATATGATGAATATTTTTGATATTTTACAATTCTGTAATTTATTCTTTATTTTCATTTTTTGTTGTCACATGTGTCTCTGCAACCATGTTAATTGTGCTGCTGCCTGTCTCTGCTAGGATGCTCTTATAAGAGAGATTTTTTATCTCAGAGACTTTTCCTGGTTAAATAAAGGTTAAATAAAAATAATTGCTGTCATTTTGAGGGTTTCATGTTACAGCAACAGAAGCATACTGGGACAATTGTCATTATGTGTCATTGAAATTATCAAAACGTTTTGTCTAAATATCAGTCTCACTGCACCCTGATGACTTGTACACAAAAAGTTGTGGAGTTGGCACCACACTTAAAAACGCTTAACTATAATTGCATACCGATAAATGCTTTAATGAAAATTCAGACATGTACTTTAATTATGTGGTCGAGTCTTGCCACATGTTGTTCAAAGATGACTGTATGAAATGGAATAAATTGAAATCTCAGCACCTTACCACATTCAATCGTCTTCCTGTCATGGACATAAACGGCTCAAAGTGTGAAAAACTCTAAGCATAAGCAATCTTTCTGAACAGGCCAGTCCGGACTTCCATGGAGGTAAAGCAGACTCAAGCAACAGTTTCTTCCTCCAGCACACCTGGTGAGTTGTAGGATTTCCTTTTGCGTAGGATGTTTTATTGGTCTTTATTTTCGATAGAATAACCAGTGGCATTATAGTTTGCATGTTTTCTATGTGTTCATGTGATTTTTGTCTGGATTCTGTCATGTCCCGTCCATTGTGCTAAGAAATGTTTTAAAAGACCAAATCCAACTATGATTTGATCAAACTAACATGTATTCCCTGTGAAGCCAAACACAGAGCGACATGTTCCTTCATTACCATTAACATGAGCACCATATTTTATTTTGAAGCAATCGACATACGCTGCCCTGCTGGCTTAAATACTCACATGCATTACCAAGTCTGCAGCTGAAAATGGTCCCCATCTCTATTTAGTCCAGTCAGAGTTATTTTTATTAAAAACTACAGTGCCCAACTGCCTTTTTAAAAAATGAAAGTGCACATTTTGGATATTTTTTTGTTTAAGTATCACTCTCACTGCATCTAGATTCTTGCCAGCTTTGAAAGGAAAGCCAGTCCCACATCAAAAAAATAAAAAATATGTTTTTGATAACTAATGGGCTTGGAGCTGAGTGCCACAGACAGGCTCAGGAAGGTTTTGGTCTGAGATGTACTGATAATAATGGATCTATCACCATCCTTATTCTTTCAGTTTCCTGTTGGTGTGTGTAAGCATGTGAATGAATTTGTCTGTATCTGAGTGGATGAGTTGGAATAGGTGTTTACCTGTCTTTTGCTCATTGCATGCTGGGATAGGTTATTAATGGATGATTACAATGAGGACTAATCTGCTTCTGGTTTTGCACCCTTTAGTTGACTGTAATTAATAAGGAGCAGATGAGTAAAGGAGTGCAAAATCCTGTTCATTTGAAAATCTCAGTGACACTTTCCTATTTTCCTCAGCAAATCCAGCTCCACAAGCTCTTACAGCCCCAGTCCCAGCTCCAGCAGCAACATCCACCTCGACAGCCATGGTTACACAGGCCCCCATCCTCCAGCTAATCACCTCCACCTCTAATGCTGCTTCCACTGGCATTACCACTCAGAGTCCCACAGGCACCCTACTGCTGAAGACGGCCCCTGGGAGCAGCATGGTGGCTACAGGCCAGCCGCTTCTCATCCAGCTGCCTTTATCAGTGACTAATGGCCAGGCAGGAACGCTGGTCAACATCCCTGTCTCCTCTCTGTCTGCAGCCAACTCACTCAACAAGGCCAAAACCACTGCTTCCACTGCTACTTTTATACTCAAGCCTGCTCCCACCACTACCACAGCACCAATGTCTGCCCCAGCCGCTGCCACTGTCCCAGCGCTCCAGGCCTCCACTGGCCAGATGTCTTCTGCCCAAATCTCTCTTGCCCGAGCCGTGTACCAGGGTGGTGCTGGGGGGATAACTACGCCCAATGCTGGGGTGTCTGTTACCACAGCCAGGACGCCAGCTCAGTCTGTGTCTGTAGCCGGAGCTATGTCGTCAGCCTCTTCACCAGCAACATCGGGGCCAGCAGCAACAGGTTCCACTGCTCCAGGACCCCCACAAGGGACGTCTCTGACATCAAAGACAGGTGGGGGTTTGCGTTGATTAAAAAGGTTGTTTTGTTTGGTGGTATATAAAATGTCATCTCTGCTGGATTCAGAAGCTTGTAAAAATCAAGTTGTCTGTCATGTGGGCCACGTGCACAAACGTCAGACGGGGAGATAAAAGACATGGCAACATTTGGTTTTCACTTAAAATGTATATTATCGTTTAAACGTCATTCTGCCTTTCTGTACCATTTGCTTGTTTTGGTGTTTTGTTGCTGTATTTGTCTTTTTTATTTTTTTATTTCTCTTAATCAACTTTTATTTTCTCTTTTCTCAGACAACCAAGCTACAGGAGCCACTTCATCCAAATCAGCCACGACACGACCCAAAGGCTCTGTCATCGATCTCACTGAAGACGATGATGATGTGCAAGGTAAGGCTGGAGCGTACCTGTTTTTCCCATACAATAAAATAGATTTTTAATTCATGATGTTTGTTCAAATATTGCATTGAAAAGCAGCTTTAAGTCTTATTATGTTGTATTGCACGCTCTGCAGTGACAGGAGTGAAAAATGCCACCCTTGCAGCCCCCTCTCCGAGTCAGCGTCCTCACCCAGTTGTCAGCATTCCCAACAGTAAGACCGCCACATTATATTGATGTCATATTCTAACAAATGCATAAACCACTGCTTTACATGTCATGTTAGTTATTGGGCACTGTTATGATAAATATTGTATCTAATTCTTAATAAAAAAAGAAACACAATTAAAGTTTGTGTATTTTGCATGTAAACTGCATATCTAATTTTCACATCTGCTCTGTCCTCAGGTTCAGGAGCAAGGTCGTCCCCGCAAATCAGTCAGAACTCTTCCAGCAATCCTCAGTTGACAGTCCACCACCGCCCCCCACTGGTGATGAATTAGAAATACATTTTTTTATATTTTGCATAGAACAAATTTAGTTTTTTTAATTCTATACCTTATCTGTTAAGTCTTGGTTATTTATTATTTGAATGTGATGTTGTAACGAAATGTGCGGATCTTATGCTGAGAGGCTGCCATCAGTCCAGTTGACTTTGTCCAGCAGACAGATTCTTAACTGTAAAAGCTCAATTTGATGGCTGTTTGGAAGTTGAGCTTTTATTTATCTCAGTTTATGAAAAACTTTCTCCATAACATTTCTAGAACCACTTTCATTTCACTATAAATGATAAGAAGATGTTTTTAAATTATTCAAGAAATAGTTGTCATGATCATATTTAGCCCCTTTTACTAGATGACTAACTTATGACGGTTTCCTCTTTTATAGGACTCTCCATTGAAATCCCGCACTGTAACCACTACTGCGCCAGCCAGGGGCTCCAGCATGGTACTGCCCCCTCTCCCAGCAGCACCTGCACCTCCACGTTTACCCCCCGAGGCTGAGCGCACCTCACCTCCTCAGCAACCTCAGCTGAAGCTGGTGCCAAGTCAGACTGGTATAGTGCTGTCCTGGTGTGTGGCAGAAACTGATCGGACCTGTGCAGCTGTAGACAGCTATCACCTCTATGCCTTCCATCAAGACAACTCAAGCAGCAATGCAGCACAGCAGCACTGGAAGAAGATTGGGGAGGTGAAGGCCCTTCCTCTTCCCATGGCCTGTACACTGACCCAGTTCCAGTCTGGCTCCACTTATCATTTTGCTGTTCGAGCCAAAGACATCTACGGGCGCTTTGGCTCCTTCTGTGAACCTCAGTGCACAAATGTCATCAGTTCCAGCTCAAGTTGAACAGTTAAGGAATGGAAACCTTTTTTTGCATTTGAAAGTTCATGACTTCCTTTACTTCTTTTTTGTTAGGAACTCAAATATTGTGCATTGAAGACATACAGTATCTGTAAATATCTACATTACAACTGGACTTCTGACTGACTTGGGAAATTGAAGCAACAAACAGTTGGTTTTGTCTGGTTAATGTATGTATTGTATTTTTTGTGACTTAAGCTGTTGTACATAATTGAATTACTTTGCCTCTCTACCAAGTTGGATATTTATGTTGTTGACTCCTGTTACTCTGACCCAGATGTCTTTGCTTTACTTGAGAAGAGGTGACAGGATTATCAATGTAAACTCAGAATTGCACAGATATGTATAAATGTGTGGTAGAAACTGAATGATAACTTTTGTAAGTTCTGTCTGGTACCCAGACTTTGACAAACACAATAAAAGGTTTTATTAAAGTCTTGACTTAGTAAATTTGTGACTAATTGTATCTGCTGTTGTTTGGTTCATAGCTTTTCACTGCAATTACTGACACCACCAGTCTACCACCTTAATTACAACAGTACCCGTAGAGATACTGGCACTTTGGTAACGTGTGTGAGAAAATCCCATGTTTTACCAATTAAAATGGATATACAGTACTTTGTACACAGACACACTGAATGCCTTGTATTTCCCCTGCATGGTGATCCAGATAATTAGGCTGATCTGCTGAAGCTTTGTTTTCCTCAGAAATCTCACAGCTGCTCTATAAATCTGGCAGCCTATGATGAAACGCAGATCTGCCAACATTAGTGATGACATTAACTATAGCACTCATCTTCTAGTTGTTCCACACAGACCACAAGAGGATGACAGTGTCTAGCATAGTATTGCATTTCTCATTTGTTGCTTTAACAGCAGAAGCAGAGAGCTGAAAAAGTACATTGGTTGTTATGAAGCAAAGAGAAAATGATTAAGTGCAGGTGTCCACTGCATAGATATGATTTGAAGAATTACAAAACAAGCCACCAAATCAAAATGGTTATTAGTCCTCATGTATGAGTAATGTGCACAATAAACCATATCACCTAACACAATAGATCAGGAGACATGGTTCTTTGAAAACAAAGGTAGCCCTGGTGGTGGTGCTAGTGGAAAACCAATGGGCTTATTCATGTTCAGTTGAAAACTGAGTCTGGTCTGATGGTGGTGCTATAGCACCACCGCTGTGTCCCAATATTTAAATGTGTTAAATATTGGGGCACATCCGCCTAAACCAGTCAGGAGGATTGCCAGGGGACGAAAGAACCAGATGGAACTACTCAGGAATCTAGAGAGAAAGGTGGCACCCACTTGGGGGTGGCCAGATGGTCCATGGAAGCATCAATGAAGTCAACCACACAGTCCCACCAAAACCAAGGAAGAAACTGGATGCCAGAATTCCTGGTTCAGATACTCTTGGAAAAGACTAGATTTGGGGGAACTAAGGATTTAAACTAAGATTTAAACTAAGCTTGGATCCAGGACGGTTGACCCACCTCACCTCTAACTACTGAAGTGTTGTTGTACATAAGATCAAGCTGACTGCAATAGAATAGAGCCAAATGGAAAGCAAGAGAGATAGGCTATTGGTCTTGTTTATTAATATGTGTCTTGTTTTTCATAAGTGTCTCTGTGTTTTTAATGTTTCAAATCCATGACTGAAGGAGAACGATATCTTACTCTGTTGCAGTCAGCTTGATCTTATGTACAACAACACTTCAGTAGCATAAAAAAGTGTAAGTGGAGGTGACAAATAAATCTGATTTAGATTTTAACTGGATGACTGCAGGTGAGACCTACATCAAGGCTCTAGAGTGGTTGACGGTGGAGAGACTGGTTTACTTGGTAGACATACCTGGATCCAGGGATGTTGCATTGATATAAATCATAGAAGGTGACTAGGCAGGAGCTCAGTAATGATGCTTGCTGGGACTTTTTGGCACTCCTAATTCAAGTTTGACTGCTTCAGAAATCTAGCTTAGGTCGGCAGGTTCCAGATGTGCCGGGAAGGAAATGGCTAACATGTAACAAGCTCATGAATAGTCAACATGGAAAAAGTTAAAAAAGGAAAAAATAGGTGGAGATGTAGCTGCCTCAAGCACAGGCAGATACCTTGCCAGATGAGGGACTCACATAGACAATCCCAGACACACCATAATGTATTTCTAAAAATCCATGCCTACATGGCTATACCAACCAGGGTAGCACCTATGTTAGCTGCATTAACCATGTTATTGAGGAGACATCCAGAACGGACTCTTCCCAGGGTGAGAGGCACAGGCAGGATGCTGTATTGGAAGTTATCCCTCAGAACAAGGGGGGCACTTCCATACAACTGTGTCTTGCTTAGACAGCTCCAGTTGTGCCTTTGTGCTGAACAGCAGTTCAGAGTATTCAGACTTTGTATAGTGTCCTGCAGAGTGTGTTGCTTGGAGACACCGTGGTCCTCTGGATGGTGACTTGGAGGAATGGCCTACCTAATTTGTGATGATATTTTGTTACAGGACATCTGTGCTAGTCATGGATATTCCTTAACAAACACCATGTTTGCATTAGGTACTGCAAGGTAGGCTTTATGATAACAGTATCCCAAAGATCATTTTATCAACTTGAGCCGTGTCATCAGATTTATGATCAAATGTCATGGATACTCAGGTGAAGACAAGAGCAGAGCTGTCATATAATTACTACCTGGTCATGAGTCAGATTTGGTGGTGGAGGAGGGTACTGAAAAGCCCTGGAAAGCCTAGACATGTAGTCAAGGTGAACTGGGAATATCTAGTTGAGACCCTGTAGCAGGTCTCGCTGCCACTGTGATTTCCCCCCATGATTCACTCCAACAGTCTTTTATTGGGAGGCCTGCACATACACACACACTTCCAACTTAAACTTCACTTTTGCCATGTGTCTCTGGTTGCCTGGCCTTTTGGCACACATCACCTGTCTCTCTTATTCTTTCACTTGGAACACCATTCACTATGGCTCCTAAGCTTTTTCAGTAGCTTTTGATTTTTATCATTCTATTTCTCACATTTTTTGCTGTTGGGATTGTGCCAAGCACAGTGAAGCTGTGTTTGCACACAACCAGTCTCAACTCTCTGAGGCTTTTGTGACCACCACTGGGGATTTTAAATATGTTAAACTGGACTCCACTCCACTTGTATGGAAATGATAAAGATGCATAGAGTGCTACTGCCCTGCCCCCACTTGGGAGATTAGACCATAACCTAGTCTCGGTAAAGCCTTAATATGTTCCTGCAGTTCAAAGGGAGCTTGTTTACACAAGGAATGAAGGTGGACTCAGGAGGCCAGCAATGCCCTGAAGGATTGTTTAAAACTATAGATTGGGATGTGTTGTGCAAACTACATGGGAGTGCCATTAATAACACCACTGTATCACAGAGTATATAAACTTATGTGAGGATACAACCATCCCAACCACGACTGTACACTGTTTTTCCAGTAATAAGCCTTGGAACAACAATGATTTGAAGGATCTGCTGAATAAAAAGAAGCAGATCTGGTGACAATGATGATCTGAAATGGGTACAGTGTGATCTCAAGATGAAACTGACGGGGTGCAAGGACTCCTACAGAAAGAATCTGGAGAATTAACTTCAACATCGAAAGACCATCAACAGGGGGGCAGCCTAGACGGAGCCAACGACCTGTGTTTTTGTTTTTTTGGACCCCCATCTGTGCCTTCCCACACTGGACCAGCCCTCACATCCTCTCAGACACCAAAACATTCCCCTGTCCTACCACAACCCCACCCTGCTGAGCAACTTTGATCACAACCCCCCCAACTCCAACCTCCATTGACATGACCATGCCCCCCCGAATGGCTGTGAAGACCAGCCAGGATAGAAGACAGTTAAAGTAAATCCACCAAGGCAAAGCTGCAGGCCCTAATCGTATCAGTCCCAGTGTCCTGAAGTCCTACATTACCCAGCTGTCTGGTAACCTGCAACACATCTTTAACCTAAGTCTGAGGCAGGAAAGGATATTGGTGCTGTGGAAAACAATCTGCTTGGTACAGGTACCCAAGAAGATAACCTCATCTTTCTCCAATGACATCAGACTGGTTGCACATACGCCACATATGTCACGAAGATACTGGAAAGACTTGTGGAGAAGAACAAGGAGATGGTGGTTGATAGGAGAAAGACAACTGTGACCAAACCATTGTAAGTACTTGGGTGTTGACTGGAACAACAGACTGGACAGAAGGACCAACACTGATGCTGTGAACAAGAAGGGGATGAACAGACTATAATTTCTGAGGAATCCATCCATCTAATCCCCTCCATGACACTGCAGAAACAGTGGAGCTTGCTGTCTCACAAACTCATTCAGCTCCACTGTCACAGAAAACGTTTCAGGAAATCATTGCTACTGTTCACTATAACACTTTACAACAGCTCATCTCTGTGTATAGCATCTGTATATACTGTGTACATTATACTTTCACTGCACTTCCTTGAATGGCCTATTGAGGCTTGCTCCAAAAGGGAGTCGATCTTCATAGACATAGGGGTAGTCTTACAGAATGTTATTCCTGCATATTTTCAAGTTCTCCTCAAGCTCTCCTCAAGTAAAGTTCATCTGAACCCTTGATTAGAACAAATAAATTATAGTGCACATACAATCCTAGTGGCTGTACGTATGGGTCATGGACATGCCAATTTTTTGGAGCCAGGCTAGACACATGGAATAAAAAGATGATAAAATAAAGTCTTGGGTTAGCCCTCAAGGAAGATGCCCGGCTGTGCTAACGATGTCACCAGGAGCATATGCTTACCACAGTTATTAAACCTGCATGTACAAAAGTTTCAGCTCCACACACACCCCACCACTTTGCCCATTTTTGGATTAGCCGGGAGTTAGGCGGTTCAGGCACTGCCAAGATGGGTACAACAGAGCAGCCCACAAAACGGGTCCTCAGAAAACTAGGGGTGATGTCACTGTGGGTACATTCATTTTTACATACAGTCAGTTAGGAGCCTTCCTTAAAGAGACTATTCGAATGCAGTCTTCAATCACACTTTGTTGATTTTTTTTTAATTTTGAATTGGCCAAACATAAAAACGTATTTATTTATATTATTTATTATTTGATATTTTAAGTTTTTTTTTCATTTTTTCAGCATTTCATTCAGGTTTTTTTAAAGTACAAATTGAAAATGCGCATAAAAACAGTTGGATTGAAACCCACTTATTGGTGACAACAATGCTTTCAGTCACCAGAGGGGGGAGCTGCAGATAAACCCTACTGATTGATTCAATGACCTGATGCGGTTTCCGTTTAGTTTGAAAATTTGGCATCCAAGATGTTGAGATGTACTCATAGGATGTACTCATAGGATGTACTCCTGTTATTAGGCAGACTTAAATGGATTAATCAAATAAA